TCTCAAAAAAAAAAAAAAAAAAAAAAGCAACTTTGAAACCACAAGATCGCTGAGTTTCCATCACCTTGGATTAGATCATTGCAAGTTCTTTCTTTAATTTTAAATAGTGATCTCTGTACAAATACAGTATTTTTTCTTTTTTTGCACAAATTAATGCTGAGAAGTGGTAATATAAAGAAGAAAATTTCATGAACCTACATTCATGAGCTCATCTTCAGACAAAAAATGCTTCCATTAATTTCTTCATATTTTCAGATAATAACATATAATTATCAAAGCTATGTACTTATGTAATCTACTTTTGATAACTGAATGTCATCAAAGAAAAAAATAAATATAATATACTTTTATGTGAAGTGGCTGGGTGCAGTGGCTCATACCTGTAATCCTAGCACTCTGGGAGGCAAAGGTGGGAGGATTAATTGAAGTGAGGAGATCAAGACCAGCCTGAGCAAGAGCAAGACCCCCATCTCTACCAAAAATAGAAAAAATTGCCGGGCATGGTGGCAGGCACCTCTAGTCCCAGCTACTCAGGAGGATAGGGCAGGAGGATTGCTTGAGCCCACGAGTTTGAGGCTACAGTGAGCTATGATGACACCACTGCATTCTACCCAAGGTGACAGAGAAAGACCCTGTCTCAAAAAAAAAATTAAAAAATAAAAAATAAATAAATAAACTTTTATGTGAAGTATTCTTTGATTAAACTAATGATACATTTTAAGGTTCTCATAACAAATGATATCTACCTTATTACTTTTCTAAAATAGGCCATTTGTAATACAAAATGTAAATTCTCGAACTATGCTAACTAGTTTCTGAGAAATAATGCAGAAAGCAATTTCAGTAACTAAGCTGGTATCTGGTTCCTTCATTCCAAAGACATAGTATTTAGAACTAAATCAAAATAATATTTTTCTGTATTTTAAGATATATACTCTGAGAGAAGTAGTACTTAACAAAGGATTGTATTTTTTCCTTAAAATGTACAAATAAGGAAGTATAATGGTTTGGTAGTAATAAAGATATTTTTAGAAATGATGAAGATGTTATATAATATTCCCTTACACTTTAAGGATAGAGATAGAAGATAAAAATGTGTGCCATAGCTTGAAATCGAATACAAGATTTATTTATTTAGAAAGGTAAAAGTGGCTGAGCACAGTAGCTCATGCCTGTAGTCCTAGCATTCTGGGAGGCCGAGGCAAGAGAATTGCTTGAGGTCAGGAGTCTGAAACTGGCCTAAACAAGAGTGAGACCCCAGTCTCTACCAAAAATAAGAAAAATTAGCCAGGCGTGGTGGTTACTTTAACTCCATAAAATGATTTTACTCCGAGCTATTTGGGAGGCTGAGGCAGGAAGATCAGTTGAGCCCAGGAGTTTGAGGTTGCTGTGAGCTAGGCTGATGCCATAGCACTCTAGTCCGGGCGACAGAGTTAAGACTCTATCTTAATAAAACAGAAAAAGAAAGGTAAAGGTTATCAGAAGAAGTTAATAAATTCACTTCATACTACTTCAAAAATTGGTATCTATAATTCACAATGTCAAACTGAGAACTGTAATAAATACCAAAATCTAGATATTCAACTAAATGAAGTAATATTAATCAAGATTTTGACTAAATTTTAAAATGTTAGAAGAATGCTTGTAGTTTCCTTTCTCTTTCTACAGTGTTATGAATGGGTGATGCTTACACCCATTCATCCTACCAGTAATGTGGAAGTAATATGATCCTATCATAAGTTGTTACATAATACATATGGAGGGGAATAAAAATATATATATGTCTCTACCAAAAAAAGATTGGTAAAATGTTTATCTTCTAAAAAATCTCAGTTAAATTCAAACATTTCCAGGACTTCTCAATTCTCCCATAATATTGCCAATAAAGTTACTTTAACCCCATAAAATGATTACTTTCTCATCTGCGAAAGGTCAAATAAGTTTGATTAAAAAGATCTATGATCCAAAAGCAGAAAGCACCAAACTATGCCTACTCAAGGTATCTATAAGGTTATATGATTTATTTTTATCATGTTTTTATGCAGTCTATTTTATAGTCATCTCTTTTTAAATGTTAAGCCAAAAAACAGTATCTGAAAAAATTCACCCCATTATTAATGCTAAATTTTGTGAATTGGGAACCTTAAAAAGAGTACTAATATGGAGTGGATTAAACATACCTGGTTCATTATAGCCTTCTCTTAAGTATTGAATAAGACAAAAAATAAATCTTGGAAGAACAAATTCAGACATCATCAGTAAGTCTTTGGGGACACAGGGAATATTTGAACTTGATTTAATTTGATGCCTTTTGCAAAACCTGTAATATGAGAAAGAAAAAAAAATTAACAGTGATGTCTAACTAGCCAAGAATATATTACTTCTATTTATAATATTCATAAACAGAATGCAGCCAATATCAAAGCCAATATAATCCTTCTTTATGATTTTCAGGTATCAAGTTAAAATAATATAATTTTAATCAATCTTTAAGTCAAAATTGGCACTCAGGGAGATTTTTTCTAATAAAAGACCACACTAGTTAGGTTCCAATTAGAATGCAAGAAGAAAATCTCATTATAGGATTTACAATTTTTTAAATGCAATTTATCACTTTCAAGTACTATTTTATAACTTCCACCCTCTATAAACCAGTAAGTACAAATTAATCATTTCTAAAGAATTTACATTTTTCATTCCTTAACTATTTCTAATTTACCGCATTAATGAGTAGATAAGTGATATAAATACTTGAAGTTTATTTCAAGTTTATACACTTAAGTGTATACATTCCTTTTCATCTTATTTATACTCATTTTAAAGTATGATTGGTATACCTGAGCAAAAATGAAGTAAATTATTATATATTTATAATCCAAATAATCAGAAATAAGTTATTCTGTGACCAAACACAAAATTTCCACATTAAACACATCAAATGCCAGAAATAAATAGGAAGGGTGCAGAAACTATTTTAGCTGAAAAATATAAAAATGAAAACATAAAAGATCTGAACAGAGAAAAACTACATTTCTAAAGATTGATTTTATAGATTTTTTTTTAAAAAGGGAGTTCCCCCAAACTTAATGCCATTAGATTTAAATCTCAATGCAATTAATCAGAAACTAATTCCAAAGTTCAAATGGAAGAGAACATGCATGAAAAATATTAGTAAAACTTGAAAAAAACTGATGATAATGAACTGGACCTTAAAACATGGTACAAAACAATTTTAATTAAAATTCTCTGGTAATGTCATAACATCAATGGACCATAATGAAGTCCAAAAAAATAATATGTAAATTTGTGAATTTAATACATGATAAATGTGGCACCTGAATTCAATGTGATGGCGAGAAGACTTTTAATAAATTGCTTCAGGACAAAATTGATTATTTAAATGCAAGAAGTAGATTTGATTTCCACTTTATACCATATGCAAAATATATTCCATATACATTAAAAATCAAATGTGAGGGGCCAGGCGAGGTAATCCTAGCACTCTGAGAAGCCAAGGTGGGAGGATCACTTGAGCTCAGGAGTTCAAGACCAGCCTGAGCAAGAGTGAAACCCCATCCCTACAAAAAATATAAAAAATTAGCCAGGCGTGGTGGCACACACCTATAGTCCCAGCTACTCAGGAGGCTGGGGAAGGAGAATGGCTTGAGCCCAGAAGTTTGAGGTTGCAATGAGCTATGATAACGCCACTGCTCTAGAGCCAGAGTGATGGAGCAAGACTCTATCTCCAAAAACAAAAAGAAAAGAGGCTTCGATGACTCAATAATCAATCACGTGTAATGTGTAAGCCTATTCTAACAAACCAACTCTAAAATGCATTTTTTTAAACAGCCAGGGAAATCTGATTATGAACTGGCTACTAGTTCATTAATTTTATTAGGTATGATAATGGCATTGAGATAATGTAAGAAAATATTCATTATTTCATGATATTAAGGAATTATTTTATGTGGGTATGACAACAGCAGCATTGTGATTATCATTGAAAAGTGAAGTCCTTGCCTTTTACATATATATACAGAGAGACAGAGAGAAAGAGAGATAGTTTCAGATGAACTGCTTCCCCAAGTGAAGAGGAGGAGGGCTTTCTAGACAACTGATATAGCTCCAAATTAAAAATGAGGCAAAGTGGGGCACAGAGGCTCATGCCTGTAATCCTAACACTTTGGGAGGCCAAGGTGGGAGGACTGTTTGAGGCCAAGAGTTCCAGTATAGCAGAACCCTGTCTCCACAAAAAATAGAAAAAATTAGCCGGGCGTGGTGGCACGCACCTACCGTCCCGGCTACTCAGGAGAATGAGGCACGAGGATCACTGGAGCCCATGAGTTTGAGGCTGCAATGAGCTATGATGACACCACTGCACTCTAGCCTGGACACTAGTCTCTAAAAAATAAATAAATAAAAAATAAAAATGAGGCAGGAAGTAATGTTCACATTAGCAGTTCCAAGGTCATAGACAACTTTCTTCAAAGTACCCACTAGTTTTACAAGATTAAGAAGTTTAAATATTCCTTCATGGAATGTTATAAAAATAATAGAATGATCAAATTAGAACTATAAAAACAGTGGATAAAATGACCTCTCTAAATTTTGTCTGACATCTTTTCAAAATTTTTCACTGAAGCACAACTGGACAGAAAGCTGCCTAAAAGATAAGTGTGAAACTCAATGAAGTATCACAAAATGAACATACTCATGTAACCACCAATTCAAGATCAAGAAACAGAACACTACCAGCACCCCAGAAAGTCTCCTTATGTCTCCACTAATATCCAACGTAAATGACTAAAAGCAGAATTCCTGGACACTGAGAGAAGAGAGAGGAAACAAAAGGGGAGCGGGGGTTCTACTAGTCTATAAATATTTGCAAATTACTGAGACTTGGTGGTGGGTAGGAGGGTAAGGAGAGACCAAACCAAATAACTAAACCACATTTTTCAAGAATTAGAAAGGCATCCAAAATAATAAGATGCCCTACAAATTAGCCTTTGACATGTACATCCCATTCCTAACTTAGCACAAACTACACATATACACATTATTTTGCATATATAATTTTAGATAATTCATAGAGATCAGCCAGGGGAGGTGCCTCATGCCTGTAATCCTAGCAATCTGGGAGGCCGAGTCTGGAGGATTACTTAAGGTCAAGAGTTCGAGACCAGCCTGAGCAAGAGCGAGACACCGTCTCTACTAAAAATAGAAAAACTAGCCAGGCGTGGTGGCACGCGCCTGTAATCCCAGCTACTCAGGAGGCTGAGGCAGGAGTATTGCTTGAGCCCAGGAGTTTGAGGTTGCTGTGAGCTAGGCTGACGCCACTGCACTCTAGGCCAAGTGACAGAGCGAGACTGTCTCAAAAAAAAATAAAATAAAATAATTCACAGAGATCCCTGGAGACTCATACATCCTAGATTAAAAGTTCCTGATGACATGAGCTGTGCCCTTCATTTTACAGATGGGGAAATCTCAGAAACATTAAATGACACACTTGACTAATAAAACTGTCAAAATGGTCCCCAACCTTTTTGACACCAGGGACCAGTTTCATGGAAGACAATTTTCCCATGTACCGGGGGGAGAGTGAGATGGTTTTGGGATGATTCAAGCACATCACATTTATTGTGCAGTCAAACCTCTCTGCTAATGATAATCTATATTTGCAGCTGCTCCCCAGCCCTAGTGTCACTGCCTCAGTGCCACCTAAATCATCAGGCATTAGATTCCTTGCTTTCCTCACTGGCCCGCTGCTCACCTCCTGCTGTGCGGCCCCGTTCCTAACAGGCTACATACCGGTACCAGTCTGCAGTCTGGGAGTTGGGGACCACAGTGTTAAAAGACTCTGGGAGGCCAGGCGCAGTGGTTCACAAATCCCAGCAGTTTGGGAGGCCAAGGCAGGAGGATCACTTGTGGCCAGGAGTTTGAGACCAGCCTGGACAACACAGCAACACCTCATCTCTACAAAAAAATTTAAAAATTAGTCACATGTGGTGGCACACATCTACAGTCCTAGCTACTCAGGAGGCTAAAACAGGAGAATCGCTTGAGCCCAGGAGTTCTAAGCCGGGCAAGAGTGACACCCTGTCTCTAAAAAACTATTAATAAAAACTACAAAAAAAAAAAAAAGACTCCTGGAGATCATAAAGATCTACAATATCTACCTAAATGAATCTATATATTTAATATGACACCAGTAAAAATGCCTGTAAGGAATAAACAAGCTAATTCTAAAGTTCATATGGAAAAGTAAGCAAGAATAGCTAAGAAAATTCTGAAAAACAAGAATAATGAAAGTAGAATAGTTTCATCAGATATTAAAACTTATTTTAAAGTTGAAATAATCAAAACGGTGTTGTATATAGCCTTTACGGAGCTACGATTCTAGAGGGCAGAGATAAACAATGGTGATAAATACAATTAAGTAAACCATAGAGAAGAGAAAGGAGAAGTCAGAAATTTGGTTCCATATTCACCTGTAAGTATTCCTGGGCCATATTTCCAGATATACAATTCTACATCACTAATACATAGTATTTAATTAAAGTACAGATCCATCTTATGTCTAAAATTGTTAGATTATATAAATGGTAAGAACTAAAAGGAAAACCTTCCAATTCCACCTACACGGGGTTTTGTTTTTGTAGGGGACACCTGTGTCTGGGAACGATTCCTTGTTGTTCTTCTCAAGAACATGTCTGTGGTCTTGCATGCAAGTCCAGAGCGCCCTAACCCTGCAAACAGGAGGGGCTAGAGAGTTTAGATGCAAACATCTGCTCGCCGGAGACGAAACAACAAGGAACAGAGACGTGTTGAGTAGGGACAGCGTGGGAACAAAGAAATTGCAGTGGGACAGTTGCCAAACAGACTGTGTTATAAATAAAACAGCTACAGCAAGAGTTTTTGCTGCAGCCTCATACTGTCTTTGTGGTGTCTGTGTCTTTTTGTGTGGGCTGTAGTCATGTGTCTGAGTCTTTGTGTCTCTGTGTTCATTCCTCAGTCTCAAGTCAGACCATGTCAGTATTTTTTTTTTTGAGACAAGATTCTCACTCTGTTGCCCTGGGTAGACTGCCGCGGTGTCAGCCTAGCTCATAGCAACCTCAAACTCCTGAGCTCAAGCAATCCGCCTGCCTTAGCCTCCAGAGTGGCTGGGACTACTAATTTTTCTATTATTAGTAGAGACGATCTCACTCTTGCTCAGGTTGGTCTCGAACTCTTGACCTCAAGCAATCCTCCCACCTTGGCTTCCCAGAGTGCTAGGATTACAAGCATGAGCCACCACACCTAGCCTGTACAGGTTTAAATACC